CCTAAACCCTAAACCCCTTATTTCCTACTAGCCCCCAGCAAGCAACCCCAAGGCCAGCTGCTGAAGGCGGAGTTGCCTTTGGGTCTTGCTTCCGTACCTCAGGGGTCTGGAAGTTAATAGGGAAATAAGGGAATATAGGGATAATAAAAGAGGGTCATGTAGGGATACTGGAAAAGGAAATGGAAGCTACTATTTAGCATTCTGGGAGCCCTCCCTCTTGTTCTTTGCTAGCGGAGATTGTTTTCAAGTATCTTGGGCTTAGGGTTCACGGGATTACGATGGGATGCTAATATTTTTTGGGTTTTGGGTTAGGTCATCCACAGGGAAGAGGATGGAATCTGACAACTGGATTTGTTCCGCATCTGCCCCCATGTCCCGTTGGTTGCTGACTGCGATGTTCGCAAGCAGGCTACAGTGGGTATACTGCGTATGTAGGTTTTTTAGGTGTACATGCAGGATCTTTTCCATTAACAGGGGGTGCTCCCTGAGTGCAGAAACGCGCAGCAACAACTGGGTTTGCTGGTTTGGATTTGCGCTTGCCTCAAAAAGTCATGGTGCTCTTTTTCTGCTGACATGTTTGAAAGGCTACCCCCGTCTCCTGGTTTCCAGTGTGCTTGCCCAGAAAGCTTACCTTTATTGTAGCACTGCACCCAGGGGCCTGTCATGGACCTTCCTGTTTGCACAGATCCTTGCAGTGCAAAGAAGCTCCAAAACTAGGGGTACGAAAAAAAAAATATGAGGGTCCATGTTGTAATCCTCCTATTTATGAGAACTGCCATATAGCACCCCTCCTCCCAGTGTAGGGCTGGTGCTTAGGTGACGCAGGTTCAGGGGATGCAATGCTGCCAAGCCTAAGGCTTCATGTGAATGATTTTAAAGGATAGGATTCCATAGCCATAACGCAACCGGAATACACATGCGTGTGCCTGAAAGGAGTGGCCCTTGCTTGGAAGATCCATCCCATGATGCAACTTGACAGTTACCTGATGTTGTGAAGTTTTTTAAGCTGATCCCTCAAATCCTGTGGGGGGCGCTCTGCAAATTACTCTTACGTACATGGTCTACAAACTCTTACAAGAGCCCCTACTCTAAGAAAAGCTGATTTGAAATCACTGCTATTCACCCGGAACCCCACTTTCGCTTTTTCCGTAAACCCTACGTCAATCTCTGAGCAGCGAAGCCCCCAAAGCTCAACTCTGAAAACCGAATTACGTAAACCGAAGCCCCTCACCCCTTAGCCACTAGTCACTCGTCCCAATCTGTATCACCAACCCATGCCCTAAACCCCAAGCTTCAATCTTGCCCAAATGGTAGTGTTACACAAAAGGGGACCCGTAATATAGACCGCAAAATGGTAGAATCCTTACAATAAGGACCCCCCAAGAAGGGACCCTGCAATTTATGGAAACCTGAATCCCTATAAAGCTCTGCACAATTTTTCTTTCCATTTGCGTCTCCTTTTTTTGTTTGTAGAACCCCATATAACCCTTTGTCCCCCCAACTTGTGGACACCCTCAACCTAAACCCTTCAGACCACCAAACTTTGATGTCAAGAGTAGGGGGATTTTGGTACCCCAACCCCCAAAACCAGGACCCTATATTCATCATATGATAGTCATAGGGTCCTAACTTCGGGGTTACCAAAACCCTTTTGTTATTCAAGAGGCGGCAGCCTCAGCGAAAAGCGGGAGACCGTTGCCCTGATCTCCGGTGCCCGGGCACTGGACGAGGCGGAAGTTGTGGGCTGATGGGTTCAGGGTTTAGGGGGGTTTGGGGTTCGATAGGGTTAAGGGTTCTCGTTGACAACATATTCTTTGAACATTTGTTGGGAGGTTAGCATGCTTGAGGGTTTTTCGGGCTGAATCTAAATTCCACAAGGGTTGAAGCACAGGCCAAAGGTATTCATTCGGAATTGTGCGTTGGGCTGATTCCCTAAACTGCCTAAATCCTGATCCCTGAACCCCAAACACCAAACCCTATGTTAAGAGCTGTGGATTGTGGCAGGGTTTTGTTGTTTTGTCAGCTGGCTGTGAAAGCTGGCGTGAGCGACTCAATTTAGCAATAATGCTTATGTAAAGCCCTGGAGGCAGCAATTCTAGTGGGGGAACAGTGAGGGGTGTCTGTTTTGTAGTCAAGGGGGTTTAGGGAACCTATGGCAATCATGTGATCAAAGTAGCGTCCTTTTTTCTCAGGGGTTCGGGTAACTTGCACCTTCTCAATATTTGAGATGTGTGGGTTGGAGGGTGCTAAGCTGGGTCGTAGCAAATATGTTATGCTGCATGCTGCTTCAAGAGCATGCATTAGTGGGTGCCATCACGTGCTTGGCTCTTACCGAGGTTCTTCGAAGTTGGTTGCACGTTCCGTTTTTCTAGGCATCGCCCCCTATTTTGGCTGGGGTGTAAGTACGAGCTTCTGACAGCTGCTTATGTAGGAAGCACATGGCAGCATCTGATAGGATTGCTTGTTTAAGTTTCAGTCAGGTGGCTGTCCTGAAGAGCTCTCATGTTCGAGAAGCACTGATGCGTGGCACACAGCTTTCTGACTGGGCGCAGCAGTTTCTTTCGATTCTCTACACACGGGTTGGGGCAAATTAAAGTGTAAGGGTGTTTCTTTGGAATGACATTCTGAGCTGGGCCTTTCCAGCCGAGTACTGCGGGGCTGCAGCAGTTCTCGCAAAACCGGTGCTCACAGGGATACCCTTGGCGATATGACGGACACATCATGCAATTTTCTACAGCACCTGCAGCAGCCTGAAGGGGAAGCCCTGTGTGTTTGCAGCTCTGTCTCGCAGGTTGGTCATAATTTTGTGGATGCAGCCCTTGTTAAGCTCAGCTGCAGCAGCCCTTGCTGCCCTGTTACGCTTTCTTCTAGCTGGTTGTAAGGAGGGAATGCTATAGACACATTGGGCTACTATAAGGTTAAGTGTTTAGGGTTACCCAAGGGTTGCGGGTTTAGCGAAGGGAAAGACAAAGGAAATCGCAACATGGCTGTATTATGGGGGAGTATGTAGGGGCCAGTATAGGGATCCATTGCTCCATTCTTTACTAACAACCAGTAAGGTGAAGCGCAATCCCGCGTGCCGACTTTTCAATAGAGAAGCTTGAGCCCTGAAACCCTTAATCCCAAATGCGAATTGTCAATCATAAGCCCTCAGGCATTATCCCAAAACTTGAAACCCAGTCCCATACGCTTGTCCTGAAAGCCCAAGCAACCTCTAGCTTCCTCTGTGCGATGAGCGGCGCTTACGTTGATGTGGGATGGCTGCCCCCAAGTGGTTCTGAGCAAGACAGCGACGCAGAAGGGGATGAGGACGTGGTACCAAACTGTTCATCCAATGCTTGGGGCTATAGTCCCGGCTTACGTATATAGAATACGCCTTTGGGTATATTATAATAAGAGCCCCATATACCCCATCTTCTTTCTACAAAAGGGGGACTCTTCCCTACAATCCCTACATAGCCCCTATGATCCCTATAACCCATTATAGTAGTTTCCATTTTCTTTTCCATTACTCCCAATACTACCCCCAATGGGGGAGTTAGGGGTAGTGCTCTGGATTCAAGAGCAAGGGCTTAGGGCAAAGTGTCAAGCTTTATCCTAAAATCCTAGCCTCTCTCGGTTTAGCGTTCAGAGTTTAGGGTAGGTTAAAACGGGGATGAGTGGCGGTTACCATACGGTTTATAGGGGTTATTAATATTGGACTCCAAATCCCACATGGAGTGCATGAAGCCTAGTTACACTACAGAATCGCTGCGAAACTTATATACCCGCATTTTTTCACTAGGATCACAATAATAACAGAAATAACGCCGAAATGATTATGAGTTTGTTAGTAATCATAAGAATAATCTAGAAATACAAATAAGATTCATCGGGATAATTTCCAAGTTTGACCCTCTTGCGAGCTCCATGAGTAGCTTGGAGTTGAGGACCATGGTCACGCTGATGACCTGCCAAACTATGGCGACGTAAACTTCTGGACCGAGGCAGCTGAGATAGGGCTTGAGAGAGCTTCAAAGACTTTAAGCTTGTACCCTCAATAGGTTTTGGGTCCCGAGTACCCTTATCAAGGGCCTTATTCCATGGTTTAGGGGCCCAAAACCCACGGGTACAAACCCTGGGGGTACAAAGGAAAGCTGCCTGACATTGGCCTGCATAGGAGGGGAAAGACGCTCTCTCCCTCTCTAAGCCCTAAACCCTCTTTAACGAGTCTTGATGGGGTGTGCATCAGGCTTAGAGGCCCAGAAGCTCCTTCGGATGATGCCCAATCTTCCCATAGGCAAGCCTGCTTATCAGCATTTCGGTGGCCTAGAATGTTCTTTACTTCGGCAGCAGGGTCCTTGTTTCGAAGGAGCATTCTCCCGTGTTCTTCACAAAAGAGTACCGGCTGCCTGCAATCGAAGTCATACCAAACGCGGGCTTTTCTACTCTTCATTGTCAAGAAATCAGTCCTTGGTTAGGGGGTCCCAGCCACGGAGGTAGCCTACCTTGCTGGATGATGGGCGGGCACCTTCCTATGCACATGCTGGTACATCCATAGCATATGCTATCTCGAGTGAGGTACAAAATCCGATCAACATTCTTCAGTCTCCTCAGTAATTTGCACAATGCACATTGGTCGTTTCACTGATGCTTCCGGGAGAGTGGGGAGTGGATCCCCTAAATAAGCTCCGTCTAAGCTCCTATAATAATTGTCCTTATTCCCGCTCTTACTCCCACTCAAGCACGAGCAAGTTGTAGGTCTACACCCAGCAGAGGGGGCGCGAGATGGCTCCTCAGGATTGCTTGTTTGAGGATTTCCAAAACAGGGTCCATTTGCATCCCAAGGATATCTGGGGACTGTGAAAGACTAATGGAGGTGCTATGCTTCAGGGTTCAGGGTTTTGGGGGGTCCCTACAAAGGATTCTTTATGGTGCTGCTTAGACTGGTCGAAAATGTTTCTTGTAGAACATCAATGCAAGACTGCATGGCCGCAGGCGGGCCTCTCAAACTTCTCAACTTATGCGTTCTTAGCGACGATTCACTTTGCGGTACATACAGCCTCGTTTTGAAGGCTTCTGTGTTGTCATTTGGATAGAGGGCGCGCAGTGAACGGACATGGGCGATTCCAAAAAACAAGGATGGTAGTTTCAAGTTGGCCGGCATGCCCTGGGAAAGGCATGAAAAGGGTGTTTTATGGGGAAGTTGCAGAGTCGCAGGTGATATTCAGCTCTTGAAAGGTATGGCAACAGGAAGTTCAGCAGCAACTTGGGAAAACGGCTGACGGCTTTGAATCCCGGAGGGGCATTTACCTCACTGCTGCAAGCATAGGATCTTCTCAATCTATACCGGCCTTCAGACATGAAATCCAAATATCTCAACCTACCTGTTGCAACCTCAATCCTAGGACCCAGCTGTCTTAAATCCTGAGCCCTTGCATCCTTTTCAGGCCCTTGCGACCCACATGCAGGACCTCAAGTCCCCGAAATTTACCAATTGTCTCCAAAGGCCAAAGGTTAGCTGAAGGACCTTGACATGGCAATAGATAAACCTTGCAGCGTCCAGCCCTACACTGTAATCATGAAAGCTAGCTCCTTGGAGCTTGCGAGAGTTCCTGTTTGCCAGTCTAGTCTCCTGGGCCACAGACAACCTTTGGGAGCACATGGTCCGATATTTCGCAGATTTACAGGCGCGCGCCGCGCTTCAAAACCCCCATCCCACCATGACCTAGCATCAGGAAATTCTTCGATTATTGTGGGGCCAGGGGCCTCCCCATAACCTGAAGGCTACCCCCCCTCCCCCGTATGTGGACCCTCCCCATGATGAGGTGGGGCTAGATGGTGGTTTCTTGCTTAAGTGATTCCATGTCAGTCCTTGTTCTGTAGGCTTGCGTGCATAAACAGACAGATCCGTCCACTTTCTCTGCTGCGATCTAGCCTGCGTCCGCGCTGCTCTCGGATCCTCTAACCCAAAACCCTCTACTCCAACCAAACTCCTGTACTGCAACCCCTCCATGCAACGTAGGAGTGGCTGGTCTCATACCCGCACTTTGTCGCACAAGGCCGTTGGGCTTCGGGGGCTTGAGGCTAGGGCTAGGGGCATTTGGATTGAAGTGTTGTTTGATTTTGGAAAGGGTGGCAGTGATGGAGCTTAGTTCCGCCTTGGGTAACTCAAATGGAGAATACGCAGGGTATGTACGTGACGTTGCTTTCCCAGCGCTTTAACCTCTACTACATGAGGATTGTTATCGATCCATTCTGTCCCTGAAAGGCTGGCTGCGCTTCTTTCCCTCGAAGGCATCTCGAATTCTGGACCTGGGCTGCGGAGACTCCGTCACCTGCATCACCTTAGATTTGCATGGGATAAGTTTAGATTTCCCTGCTGATGGTGGAGGAGGAGGTGGTGGTGGTCATCGTCTTTGTTGTAGTTGGCGCAGTTACACTCAGCATCTAGTAAGTCAAAGAATCTTTCTTAACCCAGGCTTTTCAAGACATGTGCATCAGATTGCCTTGCGCAAATGGACAAATGTCTAGAGAGTAGTTGCAAGTGAGCTATCGTGAATAAAGAACTATAGCATTTTCCAGATAACCTCGGTTGCTTCTGACAGTGCCCATGATTTTAGACAAGTTTTTTTGGGTTGGCGTTTCACTGAATCTTTCTTGAAATGCGGATACGATCTTGAGGCTTCATTTCGCTTCAGTGTATACACGTGATTGAAAGACGTGCGGTTGTCAATTAGGATGTCTTCTCTGTATACAGCGACCTTTTCAAACTTTCAAATTTTGGGCATGTGCGAATGCGCGCGATCAGCATGTGCGCATAGTGATGGCCAAAAACTTAAGCCCCAACAGTCGTCAAGCTGGAATATTGACTACTATAGTAGCTTCCATTTTCTTGTCCATTATCCCTATGTAACCTCTGTAAAACTTCAAAAAGTTGCCAAGCTGAGGAGTTCATGACGGAGGCTTATGATGATGGCTACGAGGACATTACTGGAGTCGACATTGTACCTGAAGTGCTGGACACCATGAGGCAGCTGAATGCTTCCAAACGTCCTGGGATCAAATACCAGCTTGCTGTAGCCTGGCTGCAGTATGTTCTGCTACTTAAGAACCCTGGATGCAATGAACGGCTCCCATAGGAAGCAACTAAGCTCGGTCTCTGGCAGAGAACCAGTTGCGCGAGGACACTTTCCTGAGCCCTGTTTTCTGTTGCATACCTCTTTGTTGCCTGCCCTGATGCGGAGTTTGTGGACGGCATCATGATGCTGCACTTACCCTTGCAGCTAACCCCCTACTTGTTCGATGGGGATCGGATCAAACTGTTTGGGGAGGTAATAGGATAGCATATGCCACATGTCCTACCACGCCAAGCAAGAGGCATTGCTCCATTTGGGTCGGTAGGCTTTATCAAAAAGCCTCTCGCTAAGAAGGAACTTGCCCAGCCCTAACCCTTCCGTCTTGAGTGCAGTATCATCCTCTCCTCGCCTGCATGTGTGCACATATCGCTTTCCCGTCCGCGTCTTTCTCAGAGGATGCGAGAGAGCTCTCGATGTTCTCTGACAACTCCTTCGATGTGGTCTTTGACGCTCATGTCCGCATTGTTCAGTTGGTTCCGTAGGATCCGTAGGGTTCCGTGTCTGCCGGTCACGCGAAGTGCTTCATTGGCTTTTGTAGTGAAGTGTCATTGTGGAAGCGCTTATTTATGCTTAAAGCTTTTTGGAAGAGCGACTGCAAGGGGTGCGCTGGCTTGAACCCTAGGACAAGAGCACGCTGGACGCCCTGAAGTGCGCAGGGCCGGATTCAACGAGCATGATGTCATCTGAGATCCACCGAGTACTGTCAAGCGATGGGGCAACATGGCAGCACGAAACTGTTTTGTTGTGAGTTTGCGCATGCTAACTTCTTTCCTGACAGTTCTCCCAGGGGTCTTGCCAGAAGCCACTGACGGTAATGTAATATCCGTTAGGAGGACCCCCCACCCTGTAATAGTGGTATAATAGGAATATACGAGGACCCTAATATAATCCCTGTTATCCCCTATAGTCACTATTACTGGATGGGGGGTCCACCTAAAACATCCGCTATGGCTCGGCAAGTCTTCTCTGTGGGTCGGCTGTGGAATGCTCAGGTATACCTCTGTGTGAGCCTCAACACGCCTGAAGAGGCACAACCGGCCATCGCAATTCTGCAGCAAATGAAGTCCGGAGAATGTTCTGCAGTCCTTTGATGTGAACATTTTGTTTACGTTCTTATGTACCTTTATCCCAACTTATCCCCAGACAATCTCTACACATTACCATAAAAGGGATATTAAGCTTCACCGGATTGGAGTGACGATCATGGCTGGCCTCGTAACCAGGACACCAAGGGCTTCAAAAGGATGAACAGTGTATGGTCCGTCAGCATAATCAAGGAGCGGACCGCGCACGATGACCGCTGCTGGGAGGTACAGGTTCTGGTGTGCGAGAACGAGAGCCTCGTCTTCTCGCAGGGGCATACTTGGAGGTTCATGGGTAGATTAAGTGTCGTGCAGCAGTACCCTAATTTGGGTGCATTTGGGCCATTCATCGTGGGTTCCCTGCGTGTACCGCCGCCTATAGCCATCCGTAAACCTCCAAGTAGGGATTGTTACTGGGAAGTTGGAGTCTGTGAGGGTTCGGGAGTGGGGTGAAACCGGAACTTCAGAAAGTCATTGGAGAGGATCCCTCTCGCTACCTCCAGAATCACTTCTGATAAAAGAGAGTGGCTTGCCCGATCGTAACCATTTACACATAATTGCGAATTTCCTAGTCCAAGAGTCCTTGTAGAATTATGATAATATAGGGCATCTCCTGTAGACCTCCTACTTCTGAAGAACGTTTGTTCCAGAAGATGAATTCTGTCACCCAACAGTAGACATTCAACAATATGGAGTGAATATTACTCAGCCGTCATTTTGACGTGGCACTGGTAGCCGTAAGAGGGATCCCCAAAATCCTCTAACCAAGGTTTAGGGTTGAGGGTCTAGGGTTTAGGGCAACGCTCCGCCTTGCAAGGAGATACGATGGGAGCAGTGACGGTCCTCCGAAGCACCTTTACATGTACGTCGCGCGGAAAAGTCTCGATCACTCATGATGTTGTTTTTGCGGTTATAAGAATTATTACAGATATATATATATTCTTATTGCCTTACATTCGTACTACTATTATTATCATCATTATCATCATTACTACCATTATTACTATTATAACTAATATGTTTAGGATCCTTGGGCGGTCCCCATGGCGATTAGTTCGCACAGTTTGCGAGAGGCAGAGAACATAACCAAGTGTCCCTCATGTTTCCATGCTACCCAGATGTCTTCACAGAGTGGAGTGCTCAGGTAGACAGAGTACAGAAGCTGTCTTGATGCTAGCATGGATCCTTGGGATGAAAAAGGCTCGATGTCTAGAAGGTTTCTGCTGTTTCCCAAAAAACAATGTATCTTGGCAGTTTTAACCTTACAGAAATGCCTCACCACATATGTCTCCTTCATGCGCCAGCAAAGCTCAGGGGGCTCTGCATCGGAACTCCTTACTCCTACTGGCTGCCTTGGGGGAGGAGCAACGTGACCCATTTTTATCATGTGGGAGATCGAGGGGATCCCATTGGGGTCTCTGGCCAAAGCAAAGATTTACAGAGGCGATTTTCACGTGAGTGCAAGTTGGGATTCTAGAGCGTGTGGCCTGTTGGGTCCTCACCGGGTATGAGTGCAGTCTGGTCAGCTGCGCAGGTGATGTATGCGGGGACCCACTTTGAGAAACATTCAGCCATAAATGGCAGGTCAGCTCCCAACAGCAGAGTCCCAAATATTGCGCATCCCCAAGTCCCGGAACCCCTGCCTCTTTCACCTTGTAGCCTTAAGCTTCAATATTTGGATCCCCAACCTACATCTAACCTCTAAAGTTGTGGTAAGGCTTGACGCCTTGAGTCGCGTCCTCAGCCTGATTCAGGGTAATTAAGGGGTTCATGCAACGCTCTTGATCTAGGCTGGCCTGCACTTCGAGATCTCTGGCTAGTGAGAGGGGTCATCTACTACGCACTTCATGGGCATCCTATCTATGCTTGCACGCAGTCCGTGAACCGCCCATTTCCCCACAGAGCAGAGGAGCCAAATTCCAAGCGCCAACATTAGGGCTCCAGCCCTAATCTTCTGTGAGGCGTCAATGATGCCTGCGAGTTGCTAAGGCGCCTGAAAGGGAAGGGCTGAGGGCTGAAAGGGGGGCGGGTGTTGAACCTAGAGCTTGAGGGAAACTTGAGGTTGAGGTGATGGGTTGAAGAGCGCTGGCTTCAGGATTCTATTTTTTTTTTCCGAAAATTAGTGCGATCTTTTCATGCATGGTCCCGAATAGAGAAGCAAGACGTGAAAAGCCATCAGGAGCACCTTGGGGCCTTCCCACCCCTGGCCCTACCTCGACGATTTTGCATCTAGCCCATTTTGCAAGTTTTAGGCGTCAGAGTCCTGTTTTCGAAAACTGATAATCTAGAAGGGTTGTTTTTCACGGCTGGAGTTATTTTCTTCGAGAGAGCCATGAACTTGTAGAAAGGCTGGTCGCATGTGTGATCGTTCGCTACTGTCTGCGTTATTGAGACAAGTAGGTCACCTGGAGGGTGAGTCACAATCACCAGAAGAACGCCAAGCACCAAAGTTAAGCATGGTTGTTCGTATGGAATGGGGGAGTGGATCCCTATAGTAGTTTCTTTATTATCACGAGTGATATTGCATACATATATTATAAGGACTAGTTTCCGTTTTCCCTTTCCATTCTTTCATTTGAACAGCCGGCTAGAGCATGTCTGTCTCATAGACTGTGGTACCGCAAAGCAGGATAATGCTCGTCGAATCTGCCAGCATGAGCACTGTCCACCGCACGTAGCTGACGCAGTAGCTTAACATCCTTGCATCCCGCTGAGTGTGGAGTTTAAGGTTTGGGGTTTTAGGGTTTTGGGAAATGTCTCAGACTTGTGCACTTCAAATCCTGAAGCAACTGTATTCATCTCCTAGGCTGATGGTTACCTAGGTCTTTTTCAGTCTGTCTTGAGGATTCTTGGAAGGAGCCTGACCGGCCTTTTAGACCCTTGCAACCGCCATATGTGTACTTTAGAAATTTTTCTAGAACTGTAATCTGCGTCCATCTGACTTTGTAGGCTCCTAGAGTCGATGCTGCCCCACAGCTTCCCCCAGACGGGTCCTTCAAACCCTACTACGAGATTCGTGCGTAGTTATGATTGGGGTGGGTAGCGTTTCTACCTTTGGCTGTCAGCTCAATCTGAACTTGAAACTCAAGTTAGGTACTCTTGGCCCACTAGAAAATTTCCCATCGTTTACGAAAAAAAGACCACGGAAGCTCAGAGCACTGGCTAAATCCGCAAAGCTCGCCAAGCCAGCTAAAGCTGCTCATCTTGCTAAAGCCGGTGATGAGAGGTATAACGGTATATATGGATATACATGTATAATATACAGCGATATATATATATACACTAACATATGTATGTATGTATGTATGTATGTATGTATGTATGTATGTATGTATATATAGAGTATAGACAGATATCTGGGCTATATAGAAATATGTAAGGTATATAGGAGGAATGGAAAAGAACGCAAGCAACTATGTCTGCCAGTGCCCCACAAAATAATCATGTTCTTCTCAAGCGCATGCATCTTCCATTGTGGCCAAGGCCAACCACAGTAACGTCCATGCGGTTCCAGAGCTTTCCTGCCAAAACCTCAACAATAACTTCCATCTCAGGGGGCATCCAGTTCCCACAATCCCCCAATAAAGAGAGCAACAACAGTAAGACGGGTAGATAGAAGATAGTAGTATCATCATTGCTACTTTGATTTTATTTCTACTGCTACTGCTGCTGCTGCTGCTGCTGCTACTGCTGCTACTACTACTACTACTACTACTACTTGACTACTTCTACTAATTTTAATACTACCAAGAGCAATAGTACTTATTTACAGAGCCTTCCACAGCCTGCTCATCCCCTAAATCCCTGTACTTACTGGTGCTTTGCGGGGAATAAGGGAATACAATCCCTATATAATATGTTCCCTTATTCCCTATTAACCCTAAGCCCTATACATGTTCTCCTATTTGCTACTAAACCCCAGTAAGTCCAAGCAGGCTCTCGGTGCCGGTGAAGCCGGGTTTGACCTTGGCAGGGAGCCTCAGGGCCTCGGACTTCTTGTGTTGGAACTGCAGGAAGCATTCCTATGATGGGGGTAGTGTCCTAACTAAGGGTTTAGGGTTTCGGGTTCATAGATTCCTTAGATGGCCCCCAGCATGTATAGTAGCATAATAGGAATGTAAGAGGACCCTAAGATAATACCGTTATCTCTTATAGTCACTGTAATTGGGTGAGGGCTCCACCTAAAGCATTCCTGGTAGTCTTCTATATAGCCTTCAGGTTCATAGATTCAGGATCTGAAGCCTAGCCAGGCATCTAGCCGGGCTGGGAGGTCATTTTTGCATGCATTCATCGTCCAGGCTTCACCCTGTAGGAGTGAAAGGCACGTGGCATCCAAAGACGCTCGCCGGCTGTCCTCTCTCAGTTGGTAAACAAAGGAAAAAAGTACAAGGTTAGACGGACTGGCATTCAAATATCAGTATTTGCTGGAATCGTGCCCCTCATATCGACTGCTTGGGTATCAGCTTCGTGGTTTGGGGCAACGGCTTGAGACAAGAGGAATCAGTTGAGCATTTCAGTGGTTTGCTGTTTGCAGTTCTTTTGGAGTCTTTGGTGTCGCTTCGGAGTCAGGTGCTAATGTGGCGGCCTAACTGATTAGCAACATCATGGTCCCAGGTTCTTGGTCTGAATATGGTAAAGTGTACCTCAACTAAACCATATAGTAACTGCAGTTCTCTCGTGCAGGATTCGCAACGTTGTTGAAAATAGACCCCCGCATGATATTGGCAATGATTCAGCCTAGTCCCTAAACCCTAAGCCCTAAATCGCTCTGAATCCTCAAATCTTTTGGGATCAGTACATGTCACGCTGTGTCATCCCGGGAATGTCTTACACATGTGGAGTAATGGATAGCTTGGGGATTCCATACAGGGTTACAACAGCGCTCAATGTAGGGTGAGGCGTCATATGCTGGGGCAATAGTACAACTTTATTACCCAATGATACCATGTTCATTTGTGCACAAGGCATGTGGCTGTTGTGCAAGTACTTTCACTCATACAAAAAGAAGC